GATCTCTGAGAAAGATACTGACACTTCCAAGTTGTCTTTAGAGAAGCATGTGGAGTAACGCTCTTGGCAGAAACGCAGGCGATTGTATGAAATGGAAATTTGTAGCTTAATTGATACTAGTTGCTACAAGCCGTAATAACAGAGAATGTGATGAGGGAGTGACAAGGCATGTATGAATTTAAAAAAAAAAATGGATATGAAAGTTTGCATTGTGATACATTTTTGAATAGATTTAACAGACTTTTTAGCTTTTGGTCTTCTCATAAAAAATTCAAACGGTAGAAGACTTTAGACCTGCATGCAGAAGGCATGCAAATGTGAAATGTGCTTACAAAGCTTGAATAAAAGGCACCCGCAAACTGGCAAACACAGACAATCACAATTTATGTTTCATAAGGTTTAAATATTACAGGCTGTGCTCATTTCCACCTTCAAATTTTTATTACTGAACTCTCAAAATAATTATTGTGTATCTCATAGTGCAGTGCCTCCCTTCATTTTCTCCCTGTAAGTCAGTTCTCATCTGGCTGACTGCACCCCAGAAACAGAACAGCAGGTGAGTGCACTGTGTCTCTGAGATGACCAGATTCGGGTTAACGCCGCTCAATGTCATCACACAGAGCCAAGAGTAGAAATACTGTCTGAAATTGAGAGTTTCACGAAGTCTTGAATCTGAGCTTTTGGCTATGGAGTACTTGCACATATGCAAAACTCATTATTTCAAACTTTGGTCATGTTTAATCCACTATTGTAATTGTATATATACAAGAGAACGTATGGTAAAGCAAAGAGGGTCTTTTAAAATATAACTGCTGGAGCTCGAGCAGAAGCTGCCAAACTATCGTAAGGATCCGATAAGCCTCTGGCTTGTCTAGATATATATTGCATTGTATCTGCCAGAAATATTCAGTTCTGCCATGGTTTAGCGATCAAGTAAATCCAGGTGAAAGCTGCAGAATGCTAATGCTTCTTTCAATAATAAAATAATATAAAGAAAAGCAAAAGAAAAAAAGTGGAAAATGTAAGAAATCACAGAAATAGATGGAGAAACGTGCTGAAAATAAAATGGCTAATATCCTAAACCAGGAAAAACGGTTATCCACTTTAGTTTGCATTATTTCTAATATAATTTTGCTCTGAAGTTTTGTTCAGCCTAGTTCTGTTAAACTACGTGTATTTGGGGTTAAACTCTGTTACTGGTCAACTGCATAATACGACATCCTGGTTTGTGTTACAAAAGTATTCAGTTTCCTCAAAAGACGTTTTAAACAACTATTTAAGGTCCCTCTGTGTTTTTTTTCCAAGGTTTTACAGCAGATTGTTTGAATGTAGAAGAACAGCTTGTGCCTATTAGATGCTATCTACAGTTCCTCCTCTTCCCCACTTCCATTTCACGTGTTGTGAAAACAGTTATTTGTGTACAGTGGTGTCTGACATGCAGCTGTTCGTGTCTTTACGATTTGCAAAGAACACAATCTCTGTAGCTTTAAGTAGTATTTTAAAAAAATATATTTGTGTATATGTTTTAGCTTCAAGTCCTCTGAAGAGTACAAATACTGGAAGTTATTTACTGCAGATTTCTTAGCCCCGTACATTTCTTCACACACACACTATAAGATTGTTAATAAGGCAGATGGTGGTACAGTACCCAGCACAAACAGCCTATGCTGTGTACCACTTACACTCTGTTCAATGGGGGTACAAATGCACTCAAACAAAACACACCTGTTCTTCTCAGAGCGCAAACACGAACACACACACAAAGGCAGGATGCAGTCCTCACAGCAGACTGAATTCGGTCCCATATCGCGTGACACCTGGACTAAAGAGAAGGGCAATATTTCCCTAATGGCTGAATGTTGTGGTTGGCTGGCACATGCTGGGTATGGATACCTGCAGTCTCACATGTGTACAGCCCACCTGCTGTGCGTCTGTGTGGTTTAACTCTTATCGTAAGGCACTGACTGACTAATGAAGGATTAAAGGGTCATTTCATATAAATTGGATAAGTAAAACATATTTCCACTCACCCTGGTGCCATTAAAGTTTGCAGGGTGTTTATATATGAAAGCTTTGAGAAGCCAGTTTCTTATTTCTGCCTTATTCTAAAGCAATGATGCCATTTTAGGGAAAAAATAGTCCCACTTGCAGAGTTGAGGATATTGAACGTGAAGTTGTGATCACCTGCACTGGAGTAGAGAAGAGCTTTTCGGTGTAGCTGAGCACAAACATCCAAAAACACTAGGCACGGCTGCCCACCCTCCCCACTCCCATTACAGTGAAGATGCGGGCCTGAGTAGGTGTCTCTTTGTCTCAGCATCTCAGATCCTCTCTTTTCTTTGCCTTTTCCCTTTTATGCACACACACGTGGGCTTTTGAAAAGA